ACCTCTTAGTGCATGGGTCGATGCTCAACCACTAAGCCACACCAGCTGGACTTGTTTGTTTTGTTTTGTTAATCCTCACCCAAGAAAACTTTTCCATTGATTTTAGATAGAATGAAAATGGGGGAAGGGAGAGAGAGAGAAGAACATCAATGTGAGAGAGACACCTTGATTGGCTGCCTCCTGCATAACCCCAACCAGAACCGGGGACTGAATCAGCAACCCAGGTACATGCCCTTGACTGGAAATCAAACCCAAGACCCTTCAGTCCAAGGGCCAGCACTCTAACCTCTCAGCCAAACCGGCCAGGGAAGGGGGAATGACTTTTTAAAGAGATTTGTTCGCAGAAGAATGCAGTCAGCAGAGAGGCAGACAGGGTGGACAGACAGAGGGGAAGAGAGCTGAATTGTGTGAGAATAATTCGCAAGGAATGGCAGGGGTGAGACTATCAGAAAAGAGGAACATGGGAGGGTGGGTGGTGGGCTTGAGGCATTATGGGAGAGGGCAGGCAGGTAGTACCAGCCAGACCTCAAATTTAGGCAAAACTGTGCAGTCCCACCTTCACCCTACCCCCGCTAGGGTATAGAAAGACCTCTGCAATGCTATTGCATTTGGGGCTTAGTGAGGTGGGGTCATTTTTTGAAATGGCTTTCAGAATTTATGCAATAATCTGATGCAGTCTTTTTTTTTTTATCCTCACCAGAGGACACTTTTCCATTTTCAGACAGAGTGGGAGAGAGAGAGAGAGAGAGAGAGAGAGAGAGAGAAACATCAATGCGAAAGGGACACATCGAGTAGCTGCCACTTGCACGACCCAACCAGGGCCGGGGACAAACAGCAACAAAGTTACGTGCCCTTAGCAGGAACCAAACCCGGGTCTCTCTGGACCGCAGGCCGACACTCTAACAGCTGAGCCAAACCGGCCAGGGCTAATCTGATGCAATCTTAAACCATCCGCTTGTTTACCAAATAATGTCCATACACTTTGGTTAAACATACAGGATCTGAGTTCAAATGAGCTGGGTTTGAAATAAGCTGTTCTACTTTGAGACAAATTAGTTGACTTCTCCACAGATCCATTTCCTCATCTGTGAGATGGGGATAATAATAGTTACTAATCTTATAAGGTTATTATGAGGCTTAGATGTGTTGTTCATACCTATAAGGTGCTCTGGGTAGTAACTGGCATGTAGTAAACATTCCATAAGTGTCAGCTGTTTTTATTCAATAACCTACCTTTTAGCAAGACCTGCTGTTCTCCTTCATGAATTCTACATTTCAGTTCCACAAGGCCACATTCAATCATTCATGAAACGAATATTTATCAAGCACATGTAAAGTGCTCAGCACCTGCTATGGGACTGTGCATAAAATGACAGACTATACAAATACATAGTCCTGGGATTATGAGCCTTCATCAAGCCTTCCTTCCCTGAGCTCTCCGGCCGAAAGCACTCTGCTTTACACTCCCACAGCGCTGTTTGCATTTTCCTGCAACACTTCTCACTTTCTACTGTATTTTCTGGTTATTTATACACCCAGCTTTTCTTGCCTATTAAATATTAAACTTATTAAGAATAGAGTATTTCTCTTTCATCTCTGAGCTCCCAAAGGCTAGCACATTCCTTAAACTTAGATGTCCTGAAACAAATATTTGCAGCATAAATTAATGCCTGTTTGACATTCCTTTTCAAATATATTGTAATTCAAATGAAGCTATTGTTGCAAGCTGTGCCTTTGGGAATGAATTTACTCTTTGGTTAAACCAGAATGCCACGGTCAGGGCTGATTGTTTGCCACAGTGACTGTAACAACCTTAACAAACAGGCTACTGTTCTTGACTGACAGGCATTTGGCAACAACTGCATGTCCTCAAGTGGAGGCTGAAATGAACGGAGGGAGGACTGTCTGAATTGATTCCCCAGTTAGTTGAGCTCTAGTTATTCCTCACAGTTGGGCTGCAAGAGCTAATGACCCAGGCTTTGGCCTGATGTGAGGCTCTGGGGCTTTCCAGGGTGACAGAAACACTAATGCTTGAAACAAAATCATCAAAGACAGGTATCAGTGACAGCATCCTAATTCTGGCTGTGTGATAACAGGGGAGGGAGCTTTGAAGTCAGACAGACCTAGCTTTGGATCCTAGCTGTCTATGTTATCTCACCCATGTGCCTTCTTTGAACCTCCGATTTCATCTTGAAAAAATATTCTGCAAAACAGTGGTGAAGATCAAAGGTAATGCCTTTACACAAAAATGCCTGTGCTCTGCTAAAGTGTGTTTATTCATATATTTTCTCCTATAAAGTTTGTTCCCTGAGGGCAGGTCTCATTTTTGCCTTTAATCTTGCACATCTGGTAAAGTGCCCAGCATGTAGTAGATGCTAGTAAATGTTTTTTAAACAAATGAACAACAAGAGTAGTAGTTAACATTTAATGGGGCACTTCTGTGCCAGGTGTCATTAACAGTAATTCATTTAATTCTTCAACAACCCTAGAAAGGAACAATCACTGTAACCCAATTTTACAGAGATAAAGAAATACTATAATTTTTTTTAAATATAAAAATTTTTATATAACTGATTTTGAAATAAAAATCTGGTGAGATTTGCTTTATATAATAAAAGGTAAACTACTTTATAAAAACAAGAAACGAAAAAAATATGGTGGAGGAAGAAAACAAATATAAATGAGTGGGGAAAAGAGTAGGAAGGAGGCCCTGGCCAGTTTTGCTCAGTGGTTAGAGCGTTGGCCTGTGGTTCAGAGAGACCCGGGTTTGGTTCTCACTAAGAGTGTACCTCAGTTGCAGTTTGTCCCCGGCTCTGGTTGGGTCGTGTGGGTGGCAGCCACTCGATGTGTCCCTTTCATGTCGATGTTTCTCTCTCTCTCTCTCTCTCTCTCTCTCTCTCTCTTCCTTTCTCTCCCTCCCACTCTATCTGAACAAAAAATGGAAAAATGTCCTCGGGTGAGGAAAAAAAAGAGTAGGAAGGAGAAGAAAGATATACACGTGAAAAAAGAAGAAACAAAAAAGGGTAAAATCCGAGCAGAGTGAAAAATAACCATTTAGATGTTGTGGTCTTTCACTGTCCTTTGAAATAGTAATTAGGTAGTGCTGTCAAGGTGGTTCAGTGGATTGAGCATTGTCCCATGCACCAAGAGGTCACCTGGCCTGCAGAAGGCAGCTGATCCATATCTCATAAATGTTTCTATCTCTCTCTCTAAAAAATCAATTAAAAATATTTTTTAAAGCCTGGCTGGCTGGTGTGGCTTGGTCAGAGCACACGTCCCGGTTGTGGGCCCGATCCCCAGTGGAGGGCTTGCAGGAAGCAGCCAATCAATGTTCTCTCTCATCAATGTTTCTCTCTCTCTCTCCCTCTTCCTCCCTCTCTCTATAATCAACAAAGAAAAAAATTACTAAAAAGAAATAGTTATTAGACAACTAATCACTGTGTATGTGTTTGTGTATGTGTGGGCATATGTCTGGCTTTCCTTAGGTTTTGTCTCAAATATCTTCCATTTGTTTTTTTGTTTTGTTTGTTTTTAATCCTCACCGGAGGATTTTTTTTCTATTTATCTTCAGATAGAACAGGAGGGAGATAAAGGGAAAGAAAGGGAGAGCGAGAAACATCCGACGTGATAGGCTGCCTCCTGCACAATCCGGACCAGGGCTGGGGACGAACTGTAACCCAGGTATGTGCCCTTGGCTGGAATAGAACATCCATAACTCATTGGTCCACTGGCCAACGCTCTATCGCTGAGCCAAACCGGCCAGGGCTGTTTTGTTTTTTTATTCTACATTTATGTGTATTATCTCAAGGAGTCTGTCCTGCATAATACTTTTTTAAATATGTTTTTATTGATTTTTAGAGAGGAAGGGAGAGGGAGAGAGACAAACATCGACTGGCTGCCTTCTGCCCGCTCCCTACTGGGGATCAGAGGCAACCCGGGCATGTGCCCTGACCCGGCATCCAACGCGAGCTCTTGGTGAATGAGAGAATGCTCAACCAACTAAGCCACACTAGCCAGGCTGCATCATGCTTGTTTTGCCTTTATAAAGTTTTGATGACTTTTCTTATGCGTGACCAATCAGGCAGCAGCCAGCAGATGGCGCTGCGGCAAGGGCGGCAGAGTCCCTTGAGGAGCTTGACAACCACTACCGATGGTTAACCTTACAGTTTCATCCCGGGAGGACACAGAGTTGCTTTCTCGCCCGGAGCCAGTAAAGCAGGTCGAGTTGTGTGCAGGTAAGGATTTCAATGTACAAAATGGAATCTGTGACTTTGTCCCTATCCCCTACACCACTGAAAACTGATGATATCTCTTATCAGCTTGTGAAAATGTGGGAAGAGCTGTCTAAATAATCGCCGATTTCTGGTGAAAGTGGCAGAGGTGATCCCAGCATTAACTAAATACAGAAGATAATCGAGACTTTCCTGAACGTTTCAAAAAAATATATACAACAGGCAATTATCTGAATGTTTCCCGACAACGTGGAGCATTAGGATCTGAAATATGAGACTTGTTTTTGTTATAATTTCCTTTCGAAAGTTCAAACGCAGTCTGGCTATCCAGATTTATGAGTAAGAGCCGCGCGGAAAGAGCAATCCTGGAGGCCGCAGGGGCCACTCTTGACGGCCGGTGTCAGGACTCTTGAGCGGAGGAAACCCGGGACTTCTCTGTCGCAGGTAGGCTAGAGACATACAAACGCACACAGCAGCTGCCATAGCACAAAATAAAGTGCAAAACTGCAAGGTCCCTACCTTTCACCCACAACGACGTGAACGGGTTAGGTTATGCCCCCAACACTCATTCTGCACAGGCACCCGGAAAAGACTTGGTTACCATGGCCACGCAGGACGCCATCCGGACAGCCCGCATTTTACCCTTGCGTAAGCACGCAAGCCCCACCCACACAGGTCCCCTAGCTCGGCAATCTGCTAGCCACTCCTAGTTGCGTTCGGCGCTCGCCGCCCTGCCCTTGCGTCTGCGTACTACGGTTCCTACCCGTCGCTGCGGCCGGGATCGGGAAGTGTCAAGCGGGAGCTGGGTTTCCCGCCTTCGCTCCTGCCACCGCTGATCCCAGACCTCCTAGCCAGGCCCAGGCCCAGTCGCCATGACGAACGGTGAGAGCCAATGCCCAGAACGGAGGATGGGAGGGAAGGACGAGGGGAAACGTGGCAGGCGAGGCCGGGACTGACGTGGCTGTTCTCCCCGCCTCCTCCCGGCTCAGCCTTCTTGGCCTCTCTGGGTGCCCCTGATTCCTGTCCTCTAGACCCCTCCCCGGTTCCCCGGTCCCGTGCCGATGTAGAACCACAGTGCCTCTCATACCCACACCCCGCGTTCTCGGTCGCTACCCTGTGCTTTCCCTTCTCCCCTTCCTAGAAGTTCGTTCTGGCCCTACAAGCTTCTTGGAATGGCCACTCCAGGTTGAACTAATTAATGCCTTAGCTGCTAAAGTTTAGCACCTGGGGAAAGAGAGGCTCTTACCCCCTACGTTCTCTTACTTTCCGACGGTAGGCTCGTTATGGGAGCCAAGAAATCACAAAGGATCTCAAGCCCCACACTTTGAGGGGGTGACTGTAGAACCTAAAACAGTGTCGTCTTTTGAAAAAAATGCCGGGCAGCTTTCTCTTGTTAGATTCTAAAGTTCTGTTTGGATGATTCCATCTGGAGACCCTGGCTAGTGGTGGGTTTGGAGACTGTCTCTTCTCAATGATGAGGCAGTTGTCACGCTGTTTATCTGACTCAATTTTCCAGGCCTCTTCAAACACTTTATAGACATGATTTCCGAATTCTGGGGAAGGGCAGGAGGCTTTTATGGTCTTTAGAGTTAGCCTTACAGGAAAGAAGAGAAAGCCTCTTAGGCAGTATGATTTAAAGGGCACAGGAAAGCATTTCTCAAAAGTACCTTCTCCAGCCCAGCAGGTGTGGCTCAGTGGTTGAGCATTGACCCATGCACCAAGAGGTCTCAGGTTCGATTCCCGGTCAGGGCATATTCCCAGGTTGTGGGCCCCATCCCCAGGAGGGGGCATGCAGGTGGTGGCCAATCGATGTTCTCTTTCATCGATGTTTTCATCTCTCTCTCCCTCTCCTTTTCTCTGTAAAGTTAATAAAGAAAATATTTTTTAATAAAAAAAAGTACCTTCTCCATAGCCAGACACCAAAGACTCAAATTTCACATCGTGAATTTTGTCATTGACTGCAGTAACTTATGGGGGGGGGGGGGGACTAGCACATATAGGTATTGATCGTCATTAAAACTTAATGTGTATATTAATTTACTGAACTCTTTTGTGACACTTCCCTGTGAGAGTTTTACTGGAGGGACAAAAGGAGATAGACTGATCCAGAACTGGCAGAAGCTGCTTATGTAAATTATCTTTTTGGAGCTTTCTGAGCAGTCAGAGATCTGAGATTACTAGGCTAGGAGAAGGGACATCACCCAGAGCAAGAAATCATCTGAACCAGGAAGTAAGAGTAAGATAGATGTCTGACGCGTAATGATTACTGAGTAAACTCTAGTCCCCCTCCCCTTTTGTGGTTTGCTATCTCTTTTTGCAGTTAGGTGATTTATTGTGCTTACATGTACAAGAAATAGCTTGGTTTACATATATAAGAAATAGAATTGTTCAAAGTTTTCCCCCCACAATTCTTCCACTATGTTGAAATGTTGAAGCCTCAGAAAGATATATATCTTTTACAAGAATCTGTTGCTATTCTGGCAGAAATTTGGTTTGTAAGTAGAGTATCATGCATGAAGTATAAGACAAGCATAGGAAACTTGTCATATGGATTCTAACTTGCAATTTCCGTTAAGCTTCACTTTTTGCTTTAAAATGTTCTTCAACAAATGCATATCTGAGAGAGCTAAATATCTAGATCTTTTATCACATGAATGATTTATTTATTTATATTTTTATTATTTTTTGTTGTTGTTAATTCTCATTTTTTTTGTTAATCCTCATCCAAGGATATTTAAAAAAAATTTTTTTTTCTTTATTGATTTTAGAGAGGGAGGAAGGGAAAGGGAGAGAGAGATAGAAACATTGATGTGAGAAAGATACATCAATTGGTTGCCTCATGTATGCCAACTGGGGACCATGGAGGAACCTGCAACCCAGGTACGTGCCCTTGTATGTGCCTTTGACAAGTAGGTGCCCTGGCTGGTTTTGATCAGCAGTTAGAGCATCAGCCCGAGGACCAATGAGTTGCAAGTTCAGTTCCGGTCAAGGGCAGGTACATTGGTTGCAGTTGGTCCTGGCCCTAGTCAGGGTCATGTGGGAGGCAGCCAATGGATGTATTTCTCTCACATCGATGTTTCTCTCTCCCCCTCTCTCCCTCTACCTCAAACTCTTATCTGAACAAAAACGGAAAAATATCCCCGGGTAAGGATTAAAAAAAATTGGCCAGGGCATACATGAATGATTTATAATAAGAATGCTTAATTATCCCAACTGAGGGTCCAAGGATTCTTTTTCTTTTTGGTTCCCTGAGTGGGAATCGACCCAGCAACCTTTCAGTGCACAGGAGGATATTCAGCTAACTGAGCCACACCAGCCAGGGCAAGGCTCCAAGAATTCTTAGGACTCTCTCAACCTCTTGCCAGCACTGGCCATTCCTGGGAGTCCGAGTCCACGTAAAGTGATGCACTTTTCTCAGGATTTGTATTTCTTAAAAGGGGAGGGGAGGGGAGGGCAGGGCACAGTTAAATTATTGTAAGGGGGATGCCTATAAGCAACTTTTGGGAACAGTAAGGTAACCTTGCTAGTCCCAGGACCCTGGCTCCCTTATGTCAAGGGTTGGCACTGCCATTAAGGTTATCATCTTGATAGTATATCACACACTTTGCTCCTTGGAGTTCTCCAGTGGGATCACTTGTCCCAAAGTGATTAACACCAAAGCCTTTCTTTTCTTCCTGTAACAGTGTACTCCTTGGATGGGATTCTGGTGTTTGGTTTGCTCTTTGTTTGTACCTGTGCCTACTTCAAGAAAGTTCCTCGTCTCAAAACCTGGCTGCTATCAGAGAAGAAGGGAGTTTGGGGTGTGTTTTACAAAGGTAAGAGCATATCTGCACAGGAAGAGAAGCTTGCTATCTCTGGACAGTGAGCTGCTACAAAGTGAGGGTGAGATAGGTTAGGATTATATTTGGTTCCACTTCTACATAATTGTTTATTTTAGCATCAAAGTAATTTTAATACTCTCCACGGAAGACAAGTATATAAATTAAATTATTTTAGACTGGACTGGAATTATTGGGAAGAATAGTTTACTGATGAAAAATTTTTCTGAATTTCTGGAAAGAATATATTGGGATCTTTTAAATATTTTTTCTTGCCCTGGCCAGTTTGGCTCTGTGGTTGGAGCGTCGGCCTGTGGACCAGAGTGTGTCGGGTTCAGTTCCCGCTAAGGGCATGTACCTCGGTTGCAGTTTGTCCCTGCTTGGGGTCAAGTGGGTGGCGACCAGTCGATGCGTCTCTCTCACATCGATGTTTCTCTCTCTGTCTTTCCCCCCTCTCCCTCCCACTCTATCTGAAGATAAATGCAAAAAAAAAAAAATATATATATATATATATATTTTTTTTTTTTTTCTTTATTGATTTTAGAGAGGAAGGGAGAGGGAGAGAGAGAAAAAAACATTGATGAGAGAAAACATCAATTGGCTGCATCCTGCATGCCCCACAATGAGGATTGGGCCCACAACCTGGGCACGTGCTTTGACTGGAAATTAAATTGGCGACCTCTTGGTGTATGGGTCGATGCTCAACCACTGAGCGACACCAGCCGGGCAGAGTTTTTTAAGTTTTGATTTTATTAACACAAATGCTTTTTTACTTTTTATTTTGGGTACCTTCATCTGGAATCCTAACTACCCAAGTCTGTTTGCAAAATAGGGCAAAATATAAACAAATGGTATATTCACCTTAAACCTAGGGTAGTATTTTTTTTTATTTATTTTTTCTTTATTTTTAGAGAGAGAGGAAGGGAGAAGGGAGAAAGAGAGATAGAAAGATTGATGAGAGAGAGCATGCCTCCTGTGTGCCCACCACTGGGGATCTGGCCCACAACCTGGGCATGTGCCCTGACCGGGAATCGAACCGGCAACCTCCCGGTGCATGGGTCGATGCTCAACCACTGAGCCACACTAGCCAGGCCTAGGGTAGTATTTAAATACATCCTCAAGCCCTGGCCGGTTTGGCTCAGCGGTTGGAGCGTTGGCCTGCGGTACAGAGAGACCCGGGTTCGGTTTCCGCTAAAGGCACGTACCTCGGTTGCAGTTTGTCCCCGGCCCTGGTTGGTCGTGCGGGTGGCAGCCACTCGATGTGTCCCTTCACATCGATGTTTCTCTCTCTCTCTCCCTCCCGCTCTATCTGAACAAAAATAAATAAATAAATAAATACATCCTCAAGTGGATTCTTGAGACCTTTGGTAGGTCTCTTCATCTGTGACTAGAGATTTCAAAATATCACCTTGAAGGTGAAGACTTACGTGAAGGGCAGGCTCTGATTTCTTTTCTCTTTTTACTTTTGTCTGCTAGCTGCTGTGATTGGAACCAGGCTGCATGCTGCTGTGGCAATCACCTGCGTCGTAATGGCCTTTTATGTCCTCTTTATAAAATGAATTCCAAAGCATCCATGTCATCAACTGCCAACCAAGGGGACAAGGGTGAAGAACCTGTTGGGGGCCTGGGCCCAGCGTAGGAGAGTTCAGCCAAAATCATCAAAGTTCCCAGGATGACACCACAGTATCTGCCCCTCCCATATATGGGGAAAACTCATGGTTGCAAACATTATTTATGCTTCAGGGGACTCAAGAAAGCCATTTTCCTTAAATCAGTTCTCGGCAGACAGCATATAATGTCCAGATAAAGTACACCCCTGGGTGATAACATTACATACCTCCTGCTTAAAAACCTACCACCTATTTTGTTCTCAGCCCTTGTCAGGATCTTTTCAAACCAAGGCTCATTAGGAAAGGACATAGCTGTGTTCAGATCTCTTACGAGGAGATACTTTTCAGGAGATACTTCTCTTAGAAGGAGATATTTAAATTTGGCAAATTGGAGGGGGGTGGGAAACAGGAGTTGTACAATGCCAAGACATTTTTTGGCTTTGGAAATTTATCTTTCATATATCCATCTGGCAACATAAGAGAACATATGAAATCTCTGTGCTGGGAGCTGGAGAGTTGTCAAGATAATCTGGGCCTACATAAGATTTAGGAGTTATGTGTCTGTGATGAGACCAGAAAGCAATAACTCAGACAAGAAAAAAATGTTGTATTTACCAGTATCCCCAAAAGGAAACTTCACCCCATCAAATGGTATATGAAAATGAATCTACTGTCTCTATTTTCCTAAAGCCTTTTTATATTTTCTAAATTACTGAGAACTAAATACTGTTACTCAGTTTTAAAGCCACCACTAGGGAAAAGAGAAACGATTGAAGAAATAATTGTTTAATATATTTGCAGCTAGAGTAGGAAAAACAAATCTAGTATATTAGTTCATATACTAGTAAAGTTGTCTAGTATAAATTGTGATGTTAAATGGAAGTTTTATCATGTTATCCAAGATACAAATTTATTATTTGTTTAAATCTGGATTATTATGGCAGTTTTTAGTTGATTACTTGCTTTTCTTGGCCAACTTTTAATTTTTGTCATATTAAAATCTTCTTTAGCTATCCCTTGTAAATTCTGTATTATAAGAACATGAGAAGTTTGAATGAGTGAGAAATTGCTGATATTCATAGGCATATTTGGACAGTTCATAGAGCCCATGAATAAAATGAGGGTGACTCAACATTTGAAGGGAAGATTTCTTTATTCCCTCCTTATATCAGCAAAAGGATCGAATGTATTTTTGAAGCCTAGAACTTCTTTATTTTATAAAAAGTTGGTCTAAAATTATTGTAATTAGGTCTACCAGTTGAATTGTCCATGAGAATAAAACTTGACTGTGGACAGGTAGGTATGGTTGACCCCTGTGTGGCAGTAAATTGTCTTTTGTCTTACTCCAAAAGGAAAAAAGCTGCTCAGAAGTTGAGGGTTTCTCCAAGTATAGAAAGTCATCACATAAACACTACATGTCAAATCATCTCAGAGTTGTGGCTGTTATCTCTTCAGGAACTGGTCCACAGGGTAAAATTTCAATGATTCATATGCTTTCCATGGTCATTTCTGAGGATCTTTCACATGAGAGAAAGGAAAAGGACTGGAAAGGGTTAGACGCATGGGTGTGAGTTTGGGACCTATTGGCCAACGGGAGTGTTACTCCCTGGAAATACAGGTTCAGCATGTTTGCACTTGTTATTTTGTAGCTTTAAAGACTTGTTTTCTAATAGGGCTAATGTCTCTAAATTTGGTGCTTAGAGCTGTTTCATATATTAAACTAGTTCCATTTCACAGTTTCAGTTATTCAAACCAGTTTTTACAGCCTCCTGGGTGGGTCATCTTGACTCTTGAATTGTAATATTTTGATATATTTTCATTCCAGAATGTACCAAAAAGTGCACAGAGTGAAGACAATTTACAGCAAAAAATACAACTACACAGCTTATTTCATTTGACTTTATGTAAGAAGATAAGCAGAAACCTGTTTTAACTCATTACTTTGCTTGATGTGTCATTTTTTGACTGAAAATTATAGTTCTCTAAGACAGTCTTTTAGGAGTGGAAGAATGGGGATTGCAGTATCACCCCAGATTTAAACTGGCATCACCATAAACCCTGTATGCCAGGGTGGAATGAAGTCAGCTTTTTATAGTTAAAATACATTTTTTATTCACCATTGTCTGCACAAATCCTTGAAAATAAAATTTCTTTCCCTACTGTTTCTGTCCATTTCATTTGTCACATGCTGAATTTATTGAACTTTGTTCAATATTCCCTTGGGTCCTGACCATAGTATACCTTTTTAATTTAAATTAATACCATCATTCCTGTTAACACTTGTGATGCTCACCAAATGTATGATATAGTTCAGAATCTATTAGAGCTTTCTCTTTTGGGGGAGGGCCGATATATATATATATCAGCCTATACTGTATATATTTGAGGTGTATCAAGTAAGGTAGATGACACTTTTCAATGCATTTTACCAACTACTGCTATTAAAATGCAAGTATCATCTGCCCTTACCAGCCATAAACTTCATTCAAATCATCTTGTCAGGTTAACCAGGCACATACCTAGAAAACCCTTAAGCCAATAGGATTCTGACATATATTGAATACTTTCCCCTAGGTGTTTATTTCAAGTGCATGTTAGGGCTGGCAGAAGTATAAATTAGAACTTCACACATCTTTCTTCAATTTTTCTTTATTGATTTTAGAGAGAGGAAGGGAGAGGGAGAGAAATATTGATGAGAGAGAACATCGATTGGCCACCTGCTGCATGCCCCCCACTGGGGATTTGGCCCACTACCTGGGCATGTGCCCTGACTGGGAATCAAACCAGTGACCTCTTGGTACATGGGGTCGATGCGCAGCCACTGAACCACACCGGTAGGGCACAAATCATTTTCTACTAATCTCCGAAAGTTTTTTTTTTTAATCCTCACCCGAGGACATTTTTCCATTTTTTGTTCAGATAGAGTGGGGGAGAGAGAGAAACATCGATGTGAAAGGGACACATCGAATGGCTGCCACCCGCACAACCAACCAGGGCGGGGGACAAACTGCAACCGAGGTACATGCCCTTAGTGGGAACCAGACCCTGGTCTCTCTGGACCGTAGGTCGACGCTCTAACCGCTGAGCCAAACCGGCCAGGGCAAATCTCTAAAAGTTTTAGTTGTCTTCCCACATACACCTATTTCATTAAAAAAGATGAAACACATTAAAATTGTGCTGATTGTAAAAGGAGCTAATTCTACTTATATAATCACTTCTGTTTTTCACTTTACTCGTTCTGGAGTTTGAAAGTGTTATTTTAGTGGATATGAAAATAAATGAAGGTTCAGAAGAATGACTGCCATAGCATCAAGTGCTGGGGAGCAAGAGGGCTCTGTGAGGACAGGGATAAGCTGTCCTACCTAATCTAGTCTCACCTTTCCCTTTGGTAAAATGATCTTTGCCTTCTCCCTTGGGAGAAGGAACTAGGGAAACTGATGTAGGTAAAGACCAGGATTTGCCTTCTTCATGGGAAAGGAGTCATTCACCCATTACTGAGATTGAATCATCTTATATCCAGAACTTGGATCAAAGGTCAAAGAAAAACTACAGATATGGATATAAATACGTAGCTGCGCCCAGCCTGTGCGGCTCAATGGTTGAGCGTGGACCCATGCACCAAGAGGTCACCACTTTGATTCCCAGTCAGGGCACATGCCCAGGTTGTGGGCCAAATCCCCAGTGAGGGGCATGCAGGAGGCGGTCATCGATATTTCTATCTCTCGTTCCTTCTTCCTTCCTCTCTAAAATAAAGAAAAAAAAGTGGTTAAAACAAATATATGTATATATAGCTTGCACAAAGTTCAAAAGAGCACCGCGATTCAGTTTTGTGGGCATTTGTCCCACCTGTCCCTACAACATGGTTTCCCCTCCGAGCCAGGCGAGGGCAGCAAAGGGTGCTCTGGACTAGGGCCTATGCTCGGTGGTTCCTCCCAGAATCCTCCGAGGGGGCAGAGGGTTTAAGAGGGAGGGCGGACTTCCGCTCCCGCACTGGAGGGAGAGCGGCCTGGGGTGTGGGTGTTGTGTGCTGTGTTGCAGAGTCGCATGGACGACACGTGCGGGCCGAGTGTGTGAGTGGACGCGTGAATGTGAGCGTGCGTGGGGCGTGCAAGGCGGGTGCGTGACCCCCCCCTACGCCATTGCCCTCGCTTACACTTTGATCTTATTTGATCGGGTTGTGACTCCAGCCCGCCGGGCCGACCCGAGATGAAAAGCTCCCCTCCTGCGAAGCCCCTTCCTCGGGGCGCTGTGCAGAGAGGCCCCGTGGGTGGCGGCAGCGCCGCGGTCCCGGAGCCAATCCTACGGGACCCGGTGCTCAGAAGTGATGAATTGATCAGATAGACGAGGCCGGGCTTGTCCCGGGCCGCTGATTATCGAGGCGATTCTGATCTGAGCCCGGCCCGGGGCACGGCGGACCGTGGTGTGAGGCTGACGCGTTAGCGGTCAGCAGTGGGCCCCAGGGCGGAGGGTGGTTAAGGCCCGCGGAGCGGAAGCTGGAAGGGGACCGAGGCTTTGTTCTTCCCCAGCTTCTTCCCTTTTTTTTTCTTTGGGCCCGCCTTTTGAGTACTGTGTGGTACCAACAGTACTGCACCTGGCCTAAAGGCACTCTACAGCGTCTGCTGCTAAGGGATATAGGGTGTGTGTGTGTGTGTGTATGTCTCTATATGTATATAGTTCTCCGTAGGAACTTGGGGAATAAGAATTCAGATTCCAGCCCCGGGTGGTGTGGCTCAGTGGCTGAGCATGGACCTATGCACCAAGAGGTCGCATTCCCGGTCAGGGCACATGCCCAGGATATGGGCCCGATCCCCAGTGGGGGGCATGCAGGAGGCAGCCCATCAGATGTTTCTCTCTCCCTCTCCCTTCCTCTCTCTAACGGCAATAAAGAAAAATATATATTTTTAAAGAATTAGTTTCCAGGGACCCACCCCAGACTTACTGAACTAGAATTATCAGGGAAGTCTAGGAATATATATAATATTCACCCGAGGATATGTATTTACTGGTTTTGGAGAGAGAGAAACATCGATGGGTTGTCTCCTGTATGCACCCCAACCCAGGATTGAACCCGAAACTTCGGTATGTGCCCTGACCAGGATGATGCATGGGGCAAAGCTCCAATCAACTAAGCCACTTGGCCAGAGCTAGGAATCTATTTTTTTAAAGCCTCTGTGCCTGTATCACAGTAATCAGTTTTTTGATGTTCAGTATCAGCCTGTATGAGGTGACTAATCAGTGAGTCACCCCTCTCTGCCAATTTTAACAATTCTAAATAATGAGAACTGAAATTTCCTGTTGCTACCTGGCAGCAGGTACACTATCTGAATAGTGGGAGAGAGGCTGTGACTGGTGGTATTTAAGGACTCTGCACCCAGGTACCAGGAAGAAAGAAGCCTTTTCTTGTCTGAGTTATTCAACAATGCTTACGCTGTCCAGACTTAGAAATGGAAATTTGTCATACAATAATCTAGGCCTGCTGTTTCTTGCCCAATTTAATAGCAGGTTCCTGTGACTTGTAACTTTAGAAACCACATTAATGCATCATTTTTAGGTAGCTTCAAACCCAAGCACCAGATTGTTGGGCCATGTTTATAAGAATTGGGGGCAAACAGCAGCACAAACTGACACAAAGACAAGGGAATTGATTCCCAGCAAGAAGACAGTAGCATTTAGAGAAAACAATGGTAAAGAGGCAGGACCACGGAGATGGAGGTCTCCCCATGGAAAAGCAGAAGCCAGCCAATGACTAAATCCAGAGGTCGGAAATCTGTTAAGTGTGACATCAGTGTAAATATTAATGCTATGTAGAGCTATGAAAATTACAGTGATTGTAAGCTCATTAAGACAATGGGCTATCTTCATGTGTGTTTCCCCAACACTTATCTCTGACACAAAGGTTTGCAAGAAATAATAAATGTATGTATCTGTATGATTGGTATGACTCCAGTTTATAAAATATGAATACCTGCCTCCTGCCCGAAACTGGGCTGTTCTGTACTAAATCCTTGGAAATATGCCCAACAAGACTAGTTTCTGGAAGTTAGGAAACTTTTCTCCCATTTTTTAAAGTAGTCTGGTGTCTGTGGTTAAAAGATACTTCAGGCTTCATCTTGCACAATTCTTTTTAATGGAGGTGGGCAGCAGGATGTTCCACTATGATTAATTAATCCAGGAGCCTGTCATTAGGTGGAGAAGAAGCCACCATCATTCTTTCGCGAATAGCCTCTATTGGTGGCTGCAGTGTGAGGGGACACTGTGGAGAAAAGAGGGAGTGGGCTGTGAATTTCAGATCCTTTTGTCTTCTTGGGGGACCTGTAATCACCCATACAGTTATGGGTACTATAGAGAAGGTTCTTGTAACCGCTGGGGAACTAGTATATACAGGACAGATAGGAGGTAGCTATAGGTCTTCCACTCCCAGGTTTCTGCCTTTGCTGGGAATATTTGTCCCCTAGACCTAAGGCTGAGTTAGAGGCTTGGAAAAATTGAATTCATTCCATAGTCAGCAGTCCCTGATATTAGTCTTATCTGTGCCAACTTAATCTTTGCTGTTTTAAGACCCTCAGTTACCCTCCCCCCCCATGTTCCCACATGGCCAGTCACCTGAACTCTGATTCCTGGGGCCATTTAGAAAACTTGCACCACCCATCTGCCCTAACACTTACCTATGGACCCCTGGATGCTGTGGATGGAATCCCTCTTAGGGCTGATCCAGTGTTTAATAGCTTGGGAAGTGATGGGTGGTGGTGGAGGAGGGGGTAAAATTTCTCCATGGATCTTGATGATTCTAGATGATGGTGTGGGGAAAAACAGGGAAGAATGAAACCAAGCAGGAAAAAGGTGAGGAGGGAAAGAGTTATGTGCAACTTCAGTATAAAATAGCCAAAGGCCCCTTTTATCCCTGTGGAATTAACTGAAGATTAAACAATCTTGGAGGTTCTCTGTTCATTTCAGATAATAAAAATCAGAAAAAAAGTGTTAGTGAGGATATGGAGAAAAGGGAACCCTTGTGTACTGTTGGTGGGAATGCAGATTGGTGCAGACACCGTGGAAAGCAGTATGGGAGTTACTTCAAAAAAATTAAAAATGGAACTGTCATGACCCAGCAGTTCCACTTCTGGGAATTTATCCGAAGAAACCCAAAACACTAATTCGAGACTATATGGACCCCTATGTTCATTACAGTGTTATTTACAATAGCCAAGATTTGACAGCAGCCCAAGTGTCCCATCAGTATATGAGTGGATAAAACAGCTATGGTACATTTACACAATGGAATACTACTTGGCTGTAAAAAGGAAGTAAATTTTACCCTTTGCAACTGCATGGATGAATCCAGAGAACATTATGTTAAGTGAAATAAGCCAGTCAGAAAAAGACAAGTACCATATGATTTTGCTCATATGTGGAATCTAATGAACAAACTGAACTAACAAGCAAAATAGAGACAGACTCATGGAGAGCAGGCAGACAACACTTGGGGGTGTATAAAGAGATTGAGCAAAAAAACAAAACTCATGGACAACAGTGTGGTGACTTGGGGGGGGGGGAGGGGGCAGTGGAAGAGAGTATATTGGGGATAAATGGTGATAGAAAAAATATATATAATTCGGCCAGTGTGGCTCATTGGTTGAGCACTGACCCATGCACCAAGAGGTTGCTGGTTCGATTCCCGGTCAAGGCACATGCCCAGGTTGTGGGCTCAGTCCCCAGTGGGGGGTGTGTAGGAGGCGGCCAATCGATGTTTTCTCTCATACATGTTTCTATCTCTCCCTCTCCCTTCCTCTCTCTCTAAAATCAATAAAGAAACAGTAAAAACAAAAAAATAAAATAAAGGTAAAAATACAGAAATTATTTACAGGTACAGATGTAAATACAGAAATCTGTATACAAACAAGTACCTATTGATTTTTATTTCCCAGGTGGCACTTTACCTTATATGATTGGTGGTATTATCCTTAGGGTGGGGAGGCTCTACCTCCACCACTTACCCATGGGTATCCCGAGTGGTCTCCTGGTGTACTAGGATCTCACTTTTGTTCTTGAACGCCCCTGTGTGGTGGTTGTACATGACTGCTAAGCGGAAATCCAGATCATCCTTTGGTATCTACAGAGGAAGCCAAGCCCTCCAGGGTTAACTCTAGTCAAGTTCTGCCTCCATCTCTAGTGAAGTTCTGTTGGGTTCTACTCTTCCTCAAAAGCAGAGTGAACTGCTTGGTCAATGTGGCTCAGTGGATAAAGGGTGGACAAGTGCACTGAGGAGTAGTAGGTTTGATTCCCGGTCAAGGTCACATACCTAGGTTGCAGGTTCGATCCCTGGCCCCAGTCAGGGTGCATACGGGTGTAATTTAGTGGATTGAGCATTGCCCCATGGGCTGAGAGGTTCTGGTTCAATTCCCTGTCAAGGCACATGCCTGGGTTGTGGGCTTGATCCCCAGTAGGGGGCATGCAGTAGACGTTTCTCTCTCACACACATAGATGTTTTTCTCACTCTCTCTCTAAAAAAATCAATTAAAAAACATTTAAAAATGTATTTTTAAAGTAGAGTGCATCCCTTTTGGGCCTGGATCCACCAACTCCTTACACAGCAAACTGTACACAATAACTGTCAATATGGAATTGTCTCTCATAGTTAAGTCTAAGGAGTAGTGAGCTCTCTCTGTAGATATGAGAATCACTATACTGTCCCCAAGTTGGATTCAGTGGGCCTTATTCATGGTTATAGTCAATCTTTGTTTTAATAAGAGTGAGAAGTCTGGTGAGAAAATTATTTGCTTCAGATAATTGAGTGGAGCAGAACCCAAGCCTCTGACATCCAGAGACCAGATAAAGTGGTATTTGGTTTTAGATTTGGTAGGATCTTGGATTGGGAACAAAAGGAAAGATACTAAAGCAGTCAGGGCCAGACTACCTTTCAAAGAGGATATTAATGAGTCCTAATTGGAAGTAAAGAGAAATAGCATTTCAAGATTAGGTACCTCAGGTTCAAAAAAATAAGCATCCCGCCTCATGGAGGTGATCGTGGGAGTTGAGTTGAGCCGATTCCAGGGTTCCTGTTGCTGAGCAAGGTGAGTTGGGTTCTTATATGGCAGTATCTGCAAAAGGAAAACCACACGGGGACCTGGTTACCTGGTTACAGGTCCTTGCTGATATGGTAGCTTCAGTGACATCCATCCCTTCATCCTATTTTAATGGAATTTCAGAGCAACATCTGCAAAGAGAAGAACAATGTGAGGCACGACTCCCCAGGCTTTTGATCCTCCCAAGTCTTCAATCTTAGAACTGACAGAAAGGGGCCAGGAACATAGGGAAAGGGGTGGAGTAGGACAGTAGGGAGCAGATAGGAAAGATGGTGAGCTCAGGTTTAGATGTCCTGAGTTTGAGGAAAAGTTTAGACATCCTAATGCAATTAACAGGTAGAACATTGGAAGTGTGCAACTTGTTGGAGAGCTCAGGACTAGTAATTGAGATCTGGGGGTTGTCCACATGAAGTTGTGGTTGAAGCCTGCAAAAATGAGTGTGACCAAAAGGGAAGAAGTGGTTCGTGAGAGCACAATATTATAACTGGAAGAAGGGAAAGGACACTAAGAGGCAGTCAGGAGAGTGCAGTGTCTAAGCAGGTGAGAAAAATATTTCAGTAAACAGAGAAGGATCATTGTGACCAAAGGAATGTCAAAGAAAAAGTCCACTGAAACCCCTGCTGGGTGGCTCAGTTGGTTGGCACATCATCTCGTACACAAAAAGGTGGCAGGTTCCATTTCTGGTCAAGGAATATACCCCTATTTGATCCCTGATCAGGGCCCATGCAGGAGTCAACTGCTCAATGTAAGGAGTTTCAATCTCACATCAATGTTTCTCTGAAAATAAAAAATCCATTGGACAGTCAGTTCTCTAAATAAAACTCCATAAGCTGATTTATTCTTTACGTGTAAAATGCCATATTGTCCATCACTGTATCCCCAGTAACTAGCACAACCACCTAACACACGGTGTCCAAAAATGAAATACTGGTCGACTCAATGACTCAACTCCAGTGAGTACAACTACAGCCTAGTAGAAATCTCATCAATCTAACTGATGTTGGACCCCACCCTCTCCTCATATGTGTCAAAGCTCTGTGCAACTCAGCTCAATTAGACAGTAATTGAACAGTATGTACCAGGCACTGTGCTATCACCAAGAAAGATGAAAAGTGAAACAAGAAAACTACAAATACATATGATGCGAGCATAGGCAGCTCTCTTTCCATGCCTCAAAGGCTACATAAGCCTCATCATCTCCATCAGAAGAAGGATGCGATTGTCTCTCAACGAGAAAGTCAAGCATGAATGCTATCTTCATTTCCAGTTTTCTTCCATCTCAGAGAAAGGGAAGTCCCTTGTACTCAAGAATAACCCCTTCCCCCTGAACTCAGCCCTTCCTTGTGCCTCAGAGACCTGCACCATGCTGGCATTCCTTGGACCCAGCTTCTCTCTCATTCCTTTATAACCATCTAATTACCACTCTATCGTCTTCCTTACAGAGACAGACTTTTTCAGGAATCGTCATTTACTATTTTCACTTCCTCCTCCTTCCCATCCCCTCTGCAGTCTATCTTCTGCCCCAAGCACCCACTGAAACCACTCTAGCTGGTGACCAATGATCTTTGTGGCTAGATCAGGTGGATCTTTCCAGACCTGATCTTATCTGACCTCTGCAGTTTTTAGCACCATGATTCTGATTCTCTCCACCCTCTGTGGGTCCAGCTCCTCCAGTTTTCCTCCTGCCTTTAACTGTTACTTCTCAGCTCAGTTTTCCTTCTCTGCTCCTTCCTTAGACAGTGGCATTCCCTAGGGGTTTCGTTTCTGCTTTCCTTACTCTCACATTTGCTGGATAAGCTCATCCCTTCCCATGGCTTCAACCACCATATGGATACTGTGGCTTCCGAGTGTACATCTTCAACCCAGAACTATCAACCACACTACCCACTATTCATCCCCATTTAAATGTCCCACAGGCACCACAAAAGTGACATCTATATAATTGATCTGAACATCTTTTTCCCTAAACCTGCTTCCCCTGGATGCCTCATTCAGTAAATGGTATCAATTAATTCCACAGAAACCTAAGCGTTACCCTAGATTTAGCCACTCTCTTGGGCTCATATCCAGTCAGCCACCAAGTCCCATCAGTGCTTCCCTTTGCATCTCGCTCACATCTGCACCCGATCACCATCCCCTGCATCACGGCTTTAGGTCCATTATTCGTCCTCCTGGAGACTGCTTCCTCTTGAGGCTCCTGCCTTCCAGCTGATCCTTCTTGTCTCGCTCCCCCTCTATCCAATCCACTGCCACTTGTGCTTTCTAGAACATCCATCTACTGTGTCACTCCAGTGCTTAAAACCCAATATGATTCCCAGCACCTCCAGGATGAAATTCTAGCTCACTAGCATGGTGGACATAGCACACCCAGCCCAGTATGGTCACTTATCCAGGTTCTGTTCTTTCTACTTCTCCACCTCACACCGACACTCCAGACATTCTGGACTCTGATCCCCAAACAGGTCATCCTTTCTCTCCTTTCCAGGTGTATGTGCACCTGCTGCTTCCTTTGTCTTGTTCACAACCAATGTCTGGTTCCTGTTTCCTTCTTCTTAACTCAACATTTCACCTCTTCCCTCAGCTGGCCCAGATCACTCATATTTCTGTGTCAAAACTCACCCGCTCTGGAAAGCTTTCCTTTTAGCTTCCAGTTCTCCTGACACGCTACATACAACTGTCACCACACATGTGCTATGGTGCTAGCATTTTTGCTGTTGCTGTTGTCAGTCTGGCTTTTCTAATAAAGTTTCTTTAGAGCAGGTGCTATATCCAATTTATCTATATATCCTTAGTGTTTAGTGGTGCCTGGCATATAGTACATAATAAATGTTGAATAAACAAAGAGAAACTCTCTTTTATTATTAAGCCACAATGGCTATTTAATTCACCTTATTTTGCACCACTTCAAACATCCAAGACATTTCTATTAGAAAAAGGATCATCTAAATTCCCAAACCGCTGACACACATACACAAACACATTCCAGCATTAACCAGAAGACAAAAACGGTGTGAAGACCATGTATAAAGGAAAAAATTTTTTTTTAAAAAAGCATCTCTGAAACGTTAGCAGACCTGAATATGGGGATATGGAGACAGGTAGAAAACAAATTCCCTCAGTACCTCAGTATCTTCACCAGAGTTAAAATTTAAGTTACCATCTCTGCCCCTCCCCCAACAGAAAGAAGTGTGCCATCGGTCCTGCTAGGACTTTGCGAGAGAAACCACAGTACCTTGGAAGCCCTCGGTTTCCCCAAGTAGGAATCATCGTTATTCAGCATAGGCTGCTGGAAAGGGTCTCGGGTGGGAGGCATGGTAAAATGGTCAACGAGATAAATAAGCTCTTAGGAGGGATGGGAGGCCGGCGCAGCCGCACACAACCTTGCGCGCGTAGATCCGGAGTGCCAATTGTTTGGAACGGCCACTTTCGGTTGCCAGGCAACTGCCCCACCATCTATGACAGGTGAATTCCCGTCAAGAAGAGCGCCACCTGGCGGTCCAACGTGGGAGGCCCCTTGGGAGGAAGCTACTTGGAACACAGGGAAAGCGCCACTGAGTATACACCCAGGAGCCCTGGATTTACACTCCCAAACATTAGGTGAAAAAACAGAGGCCTTCCGGCGTGCGAGACTAATACAAAAGACTTCAGTTGGCTAAAGGAATCCAAAAAGATGACCCAGAAATTTCCTTCTCTCTGGCATCTAATAAAAGGATTTTTCAAAACAATGAGAGAATGGGGATGTCCACAGACGGAAGAACCCACATGTCGTGCTTGGCAAATTGCCGGCTAAGCAAGCTCTCCTTGCTTAAACCCGGTTTAACTTTATGAGTCTCAAGGTTTTGCATCAAGCCAGTTGTAAAGGTCCGGATGGATGAGCAGGGATGGAAGTAAGCTCCCCAGAAGCCTTTGCAGTAGGTAACATCTTCTAGGCCACTCTTGTAGGCTATAATTTCTAAAAGAGAGATGACGTCCCAATCTTCTTTCTAGCGCTTTACATACCGGAGGTGCTTAGTTCAGTACTGTCGAGCGCCACATCTGCAGAATCAGAGATGCTCATGAATAGTCCATGGTCCGAAAGGGCAGTAGAAAATTTGAATTTGGTGGCAATGGCTCAGAGATGCTTCCACTGGTTCTTTACACGAGCCCTGTGCCCGCCCGTTGGGCCGGTTACAGACCCCTGGCACGCGCATTTACATGCGGCGCGCACCAGCGGCGACGGCTGCCATGGCGACCGGCAGGTGAGCGGCAGAGCATCGCGTGGTCCCTGCCCCACCCGCGCGGAGGGAAAGAGAAGGCGGTTGACCAGACGACGTGGGTAGGAGGAGACGAGGAAGGAGGGAGGAGGAAGGATGGGCGGCCTTGGCGGAGCCGCCCGGAGGTGACTGAAGTGCGCCCAGCCCCCTGCATCCTCCCCCTGTGAACCTCCCTCCCCTTTTCTCCGCCTTCTGCCCGCGGTAGCAGCAGCCGCAGCACCTGAGCGCTGCTGCCGTCTGCTCTGGACAACGTTATGGCTGATGCTGGGCGCAGCTTCCATCCCTCTGCCAGAGGCAGAGGCAGAACTGAGTGGCGCGCGCTACGGCTTCTGCGGTTGCTGCTCTGGGTTGGGACCGCCTTTCAGGTGATCCAGGGAGCGGAACCAGAGCTTCACGCCTGCAAAGAGGTACTGTCCTCCCCGACCTGACCCCACTTTGGTCAGAAAAATCGTGGATCCCGGCGGAGACCTTGGGGACCTAGGCACAGACAGTTTCAGAGGCCACGGAGTTTAGGTTTATTTGGTGATGGGGCGGGGAGGGGGGTGGAGAGGAGCAGACTGGAGTCATGGAGAGGCCAGTCTGCTGGAGGACACGCAGCTGAGCTCAGGGAGAAGGGTCCACCATCTGGGACCTGGGTTCCTGGACTTTGTAAAAAGGGAAGAAGACATGGGTTCCTTTCCAGCTGGGATGAAATTACCTTAAAAGTGGTTGAGAACAAAAGCTTATATATGTACAGAGGGGTAAAATAGGAAGTGAGAAAGGGGAGACGTGAGACAAGAAAGAAGGCAGGCCAGAGGAAAGGAGTGGAGTGGGAATCCTTGTGCTTTTATCATGGCTTCAGAGGAGTGTGAAAGCTGGGAGACGTGTGAGAGGGACGAAAGGTCCCACACCTCTCCCTCGTCCTTATCAAACATCCAGTCACCTTGCAGATCCTCTTTATAGCTTTGCTTCCCCCCTGCACTTTGCTTAGTGTTCCTAATAGCACATGGCCCACCTTTGACCAGACTGTGAGTTCTGTAGTATCTTACTTTCCGCTAATCTTTACTTTCCTTCTCTGACTTCTGCTGACATGTCATAAGTCTTTTTTAAGGTGTTGCTAAAATGTTGTCAAAATAATTCAGACAATAGTGAAAGCCTTCCAGCCAAAAAGGCCTTTTGAACATTCTTTTAGGGGAGATATAAAAAGATATTATGGAGTAACAAAACTCAGTCATCTCTATAGTATTGAAATAACAATATTTGGTCGTGCTCTGAGAAACTTTTTTTAACCATATGTCAGAGGCAGCAACAAATATAAGAACTTCATAGGGGAAGGCAAAACAAAAGTTGTTCTGTTATTTCTGAGAAATGTGAAAGACTTCATAATATATCAAGGGTCTAGCCCTGTAATTCCAAATGTCATTCTTGTCTAAGGTTTTGAAAGGTTAAAAAATATATATATATTTATTTATTAATATATAAATATATATATATTTTAATCCTCATCTGAGAACATTTTTTGCATTTATCTCCAGATAGAGTGGGAGGGAGAAAGAGGAAGGAAAAGAGAGAGAGAAACATCGAAGTGAGAGAGTCACATCGACTGATTGCCACCCACACAACCCCACCTGGGGCCAGGGACAAACTGCAACCAAGGTACATGCCCTTAGCGGGAACCGAACCCAGGCCTCTGGTCTGTGGGCTGATGCTCTAACCGTTGAGCCAAACCAGCCAGGGTGAAAGGTTGAAATATTTTTGTTGTTGTTATTATTCCACTTATTTATGCATTTATTGATTGCTTCTTTTTTTTTTTTTTTTTATCCTCACCCGAGGATATTTTCCATTTTTTGTACAGATAGAGTGGGAGGGAGAGAGAGGAAGGGGAGAGAGAGAGAGAAACATCGACGTGAAGGGACACATCGAGTGGCTGCCACCCGCACGACCAACCAGGGCCAGGGACAAACTGCAACCGAAGTACGTGCCCTTAGCGGGAACCGAACCCAGGTCTCTCCGGACCGCAGGCTGATGCTCTAACCACTGAGCAAAACTGGCCAGGGCTATTGATTGCTTCTTGTATGTGCCCTGAGAGAGGATCAAAATATATTTTTTAAGTTATCAGTGTTAACTGGATAGCAACCACAAACCCACTCCGTGTGGAAATATATTATAGTGTTCTAGCCATAGACTGTCTACAACATAACAGATCATGAAGAAGTAGCGAGGGAGAGAATTTTTGTCTGGTACACATGTTTGACTTCATTCATGAATATGACACAAGTAAGTGAGACCAGTTAGTGGGACTTTTGAAAACTTTTATCCTTCCCAATGACTATCTGCCTTGAGCCATCAGCATTTCCACCCGGCCACTTTATGACTTGTTTAAAGATGGCTGGGAACAGGATGATTTTGTCAGTGACTGTGGCTTACTGGCCTTGGTGGCTCATGGTCTCTAACCAACTAAGACAAACAGTTCCAACAAGCCCACTTGCTTAAGACTCCAATATGGGACTCTCTATTGTGGAAGGTAAGAATCTTACAGTTCAACTGCCACTTTTTGTTGAGATCTTTGTCAACTGTGTAAAATGTGAGACATTGAAAAAACTTAACACTTTGTATCATCTTAGTTTGGAAGGAGGGAAGAATATTGATATCAGAGAACTCTAACTTGGTTACAAATTTTGCCTTTAGTCCTTCTTAAATGACTGACATTTGCCTAAGCAAATGATCTTGCCATAGAGAGTGAGCTTAAGGCTGTGAAAAGCTGTGGAACTCAACATTTCAGCATTCCAGTCACTGGCTGTCATTTCCCACACATTTACAGTATTTGGATCTGTAGAATGGGTATTTTAGTAACACCCACTTCAAAAAGGATTGCTTTGAGGATTAAAAGGAAAATACAAATAAAACACAAATTAGAGTTACCTAACCCCTTCCCCATTCAGTTTCTTTACCATTAGATCCACACCCCAGGCCGGAGTGAAAGTGGCTCCGGACTCATGCTCATTAGTCATGGGATTCAACTAGTCCTATTTACACTCCTTGAGCAAACAGTGGCAGCAGAGCGCCCTCAACTTCAAAACAATAAGGAAGCGAATAAACCCATTATTATAATATTCTTCATTTGGCAATATGAACTGACCCAACAAGGTTCTGGGCTTCCAACCCTAAATGGTGAAAAACCAATTCAGGGTAGACTAGCCATTCTCTCTTCTATATCTGCACATGAATTTCTTATGAGTCTGTGTTCGGTGTTAAAAGCCGGGACTCTCACCAGGCCAAGGTCGACCCTAATGATAACAATGCTGTTCCAGCCTTATTTCTGAAACCCGAGGCATCACTTTGGATCTCAGCAGGGAACACAGAGGTTTGGCATGTGGCCTAAACCTTTTTTTTTTTCACTTCTTAGAACGGGGAGTTCTAGATTGCCAAACTTGAGCTCTCGGGCTTGGCATTCCTGTCAGGTTTTCCAGTCATCAGGGTCACCAGTGGAACTACCTCCTATATGGAGTTTGTCTTCGTGGATCATTTCTTTAGCCCTGTGCTGGCCCAGGCTGAGTGCTGACTGAGAGCCAAAGGACTGACCATTTCCTATAGCATGATGAACCCAAATCAAATAAGAGAGAAGCGGAAAACTGCCTTTAACAGATCTGCCTGGTCCTGAGGCTCCAGTGCTAATTGCCCCCAAGGGGACTTCCCAGTCTACACTGAAAAAACCCATGGGGTTCGGGTTCGGGTTAGCCAGACATAGATTGGAATAAAATTTGTTGAATGAGTGATGACTCTCCCTTTTAGTAAGGATGCTACTTTGAGCAAGTTAATTAACTTCTGACAGCCTCAGATTCCTGATCTGTAAAATGGGAATGGTAACACCTCTCTCATAGGGCTGTTGTGAGAATTAAATTAAATTAGATAACATGTAAAGTGCCTAGTACATCATAGCCTTGACATGTCATAGGTGCATAAGAAATACTGGTAGGCAGAAAAGGTAAGTATTACAAATAATGACATATAAATGACAAGATAAGGTGAACTTGTGGTAAACAATGTAGGAGTGGCAAGATAAGAGGTTGCTAGGAGCAGA